ATACATAGACATGCAAGTCAGTATTTTTTCTTCTTCTCTCTTTAAAGTATTTACAATAATTACAAGACACAAAGATCCAGTTTCAGTTTGACTAAATTGTGAGCATTCAATATTCAATAGTACTACTTAATATTTTAATATAACACAACTCCTCGGATTTTCCGTAAACCGCTGCGTTTAGTAGAGTTTTACTGTTTTGTCGTCCGTTATGTCAAATTTCTCCCAGTCTGCAGTTCTTCTCCTTCTCGGATCACAATGAAGTATTCATCTATTCAGAACCACCTTCGAGTGACAGTGTTGACAGAGGTCAGTTGTTATTTTTTGTATATCTTTTTGGGGGCGGGGGGCTTCTCTACAGCCGTCCCTCAGCCGTACGCTAACACTGGACCATAGAAACACTGTCAGAAAGCAGAATTGGGGAAAACTCAGGAGAAATAAACGCAGTCTGAGGTTGCTGAGAGTCGGCCTGGACGGGGCAGCAGTGCGTGACTCTATAGTAAAGCGTTGAAGCGTCGTGGCGGCGGCTGAAAAAACTGGATAAATGTCGTAAACGTGGACGTTTACAGTGGAAAGTTTTGGTGCTGGTGAGCTGATGAAACTCTAAACAACCTCAGACTGACCTATACCGAAAGGTCACACAGGTCAACCAGTTACAAAATGCTTTCTCTATGAGCGTCAGGCCAGTACGATAAACAAATAAATAAAATTAAATCAAATCAAACAGATACAGAGTGAGCAATCTTCCATCCAGGTCAGCGCCCTTGTTTCTTTTTTTCTTTTTTAAGATAATTAGTATTTATTTATTTATTTATTGTGTTTTTTTGTGTTACCAGCACAGAGAAAGCAATGCAATGAGTTGAACACGGTGGAACACCATCAGTGGCTGAAATAACAACAAAAAAAAAGCTTGAATAAATTAAATAATATAAAATAAAACGTAAGAGAAGTAGATGATCACAGAATGTGTGTTTTTTCTCTAAGATAACTATAATAAAAAAAAAATAAAAATGAATGAATAAATAAATAAATAAATAAATAAATAACCACTTAACCCCAAAATCCCGTTTGGTTGCTATAGTAACCGCATTAGTCAGGGTTCAGAATTTACACTTGCTGGGTTTATTCTGAAACAGCTTTTCTCCAGGCTCCGCCCACAGAGCCGCTCACACTAGCACTATGCTTTGGCTTTTTACTATTATTACTCTTTTTTTTCCACTTAAACTCATTTTTCTTTAAATTTTTCAACACAAAACTGGAACACACACACACACACACACACACACACACCCTCACACACAACCACACACACACACACACATACACACTCACAAGCGTGCACTCAGATATGCTCATGCTTACGTACACACACATGCACAGCTTTTTAGTATGGGGGGGTGGGGGGCGCACACAAACGCACAGTTCCACAAGTTCCACAAAAAACTCACGATAACAGTATTAAATAAAACACCACAAGCCTTTTTTGGGTGGCCACAACTAATCCGCAGGTGGGCCGAACCTTGAATTTCACTCTGCAGTGAAGCAGTAACTGGACTATAGCCGTGCGTCTGCGGAGCGTCGACCTCAGAACAGGAAATCAATGGAAGCTGAAAGTGAAATCAGGGCTGAACTGCATTTTACAGGCGTTTCTGAACGACATTCTCAAAATTCTCCTTCTACTCAAAAATATTTTCATAACCACAAAAGTGCATTTCCTGGAGAAAATATAAGCAGTTCTTAGATGGGTGCTAGGGTGTTGCCGAATGTTTAGTGGTTGCTAGGGTGTTGCCGAATATTTAGTGGTTGCTAGGGTGTTGCCAAACGGTTAGCGGTTGCTAAGGTGTTGCCGAATGGGCATTATGGTATTTTGGGTAATTGGAAAGGTGTTGATAAGCAGTTGCTGTTGTATCCCAGGTGGTTACTAGGATGTTGCTGGGTGGTTGTTATGGTATCCCAGGTGGTTACTATGGTTCCCCATATGGTTAATAGGGTGTTACTAATGGACTTGTATCAACATGACATAAGCTAAACTTTCGCACCCCATTCATTCCTATAGGGAAAAAAAAAGTTATTTAACGATATTTGTATGAAATATGTTGGATCAAAAAGCTGCATACAAGCACACGATTAACTGATCAGATATTCTGTGCGTTCAGGAGTTGGAATGGTGTTGACATCTTAAAAACTGCGGAATGAGTTAGCGCACAAAAATCTGGCAGAAAAATAAGAAATAAGAAAGATAAAAAATAACAAGAATATAAGGTCTGATAATAAAACTGTTATAGAAGTTTGTTAAAATGATTACTGTATTTATTACTGTCACAGTTTTAGTTTTAGTTGTCTGATTATTTGATTTGGCTGGTTTGGCGTCCGGTCATGGAAAGCAGCTCACCAGAGCCTAGATCATTATTGCTAGGCGTACACGTTTGAGATACCAGTCTTTTACTGAACATTCTGCTCTGAGCATTTTTCAGTTTTTATGTGGAAAATGTGAGTTAAGACAACTCGTCTTGTATTGATGTAATGCAGTTCATGTGGTCCTGGAAGAGGTTTCTTTTGTTTTTTCCAATTCTGAGGCCAAATCGTTGCTTCGCAGACACCTCACAGCTACAGTTACTGATTTAGGTGGAATTCTGATCTGTCAGCGTAAAAAATAGAGTAGAATTTTGAGGGTGCATCAATTTGTTTTTGCATGGAAATAAATCTTAGTGCCACCACTGCCACAAGCACAATGAGCAATAACGCACAGGGAGAGGAGTGGAACTGTCGACCAATCACACATTCACACCACGTCAGGCGTCACCACCAAGGTGGGGGGGCGGGTAGCATGTGTGAAGTAAGTTAATAAAGTTAATAGAGTCAATAAAGTTAATAATCAACCCCCTAAACCCCGCCCACCCCCGCCAACCTGCCCAAACAGGACGAGTTAAATAAACAAACAAATAAACAAACAAAGGGGACGAACCCGAAATGGAAGGACGTATGGAGTGAGACAGTGTTTTTCTCTTCGGTTGTAAAGTGCACACATGATGTTGAGCAGTTAAAATCACCATGCAAGTTCTGACGAAGCCTACGCTGCTGCATGCCTGAAGGGAGGAAAAGCGTTCTCCAGCCAACAACGAAACCCCTCACTAAGAAAAAACAACAACGATACACGCACATCGACCCCACTGGAACCACACAGGTAGAGTGATCGGACACCAAGTACACAGAAAGCTTCCGAAAAAAGAAGAAAACATGCTGGCCATCGCTGGAATGGTCTTAAGGGCAAAACAGTCCAGGCCCTCTGCGCCACAAACACAGCACACCGACACGCCGATGGCTCCGTCGCCTACCGGGCAGGCGGACCTGTTTCGAAGGAAGGGGCTTCTACTGTAGATTCTGCGGGAAAGCTGGGAAACGACAAAGTTTCCTCACACGGTTTGGGTTGCAGACGTGTAGCATTGGAAAACGTTTGGAGGAGCTGTGAACCGCAACAGCGAGGGCTTTCTACTTCTCTAATCTCCTGGAGGATTTCAGTCTAGAGCTGAATTTTGGTTTTGGATTTTAAGCCCTTGCATAAACGAAGACCACACGTACACAACCTTCACTATCCAAAGATAAACCTTCTAACGGCAGCTGGAGGTCAGACTGTAGCTGTTTGGCAAATCCCTCACTGACGATCTGACTTGGTGACCTTTTCTCCTCGTCTCGGGAAAAATTCGCAAAATATTACAATTATTACCTTTTGTTTTATCAGGATTTTCGCCCTCCGAGCCTCACATTCACCTGAAACAGGTGTGCAGAACTCAAAGACGGGACTTGAGAAGGGTTTTCCCAGCCCGTCAGTTCTGGAACGTCTCTGAGATGTAAGTAGAAAGCCTCTCTCGTCTGTAAGTAGCACCAAAATAACTCAAGGCAGCGTCGTCCTCAGAAAATGTCACTCAGTTCGTAATCGGGTTCTGTACGTTAGACTCTGCAAATAAAAATAAAGCATAACTGGGGTTGCATATATAAAACTCCCAGCGTTTTTATATATATTTATATACGTATGTTTATATTTAATAAATGTGACTATTTCTTTTATAGGCATCACAATGTAAAAACAACCAAAGGAAAGACTATTCAAAGGATGAGTCACACATCTAACCACCTCTGAAAGACAAATATCAGGCTATCCGCTGCTTCTAAAGTCCTCAAAACAATTTTCTTCTTGTACTATTTTTAAATATGTTTTTAGAAAAATCTACGTCGGAACAGCGATAGACGTCTAAAGTGTGCCCTTCCCGTCTCTCCCTCTGGATCCCACTTGAGAAGAGCTAAAGCGCGGTTTAATTCTGAAAGCAGGATCATCTTTCTTCATCTATCAAAACTGCATAGTTCAACTGGTTGCACATTGCTATACTTCTCCATCTCTCCTAGCAGAGCTTCCTGACTCTATGGTCTCCAGCATCAACCTCAAATGATAGCCGAGTCCGTTTGTGTGGTCAAGTCACTGATTATCTAAGAACGTGTGCTTGATTAGGTTATTTTTTTGTCGTTGTCCAGGATGGAGATTGAGGTCCAGCTATGAGGATTGAGGTGCTTATTTGTAATAAACGTTTCTACATATTTCTCTATTAGATTTATAAGCTTTGTCTGCCGACTACGATCGGATTCATTCATTCGCCGCTAGAAGAGAATGACCGAGTCCATCTACCTAAAAGCAGCCCCTCAGAACTCGAAGTCCCTCCCAACGAAACCTCACAAAACCAGCTAAAGCAAACCGTCCGTTCTCCGTTTCGGTCAGTAGGTAAGTGCACTAAACGCTTAGCGCCGTATTAAAACCATTAAAACCATTAAATCCATGCTCTACTGAAACACAGCCAAATTTAGCAGTCGCTGGCACTGTCCTGGAGACCCCCCGAAAAACGAAAGAAACGTTTAAAAAATAAGGAAACAAACAAAAAGAAATGTAGGTTGTATTTCTTTACAGGTAGTAACCCATGTGCTGTTTCTTATGTTCAATACATTTACATGTACAATTTTGTAAATAGTGTTTATTGTTTATTTGAACCCTCTCTTTTCATATATGTTTTAATCAGCTATTATGTAACATCTGGGTTTTTGTTTTGTTTTGTTTTTTTGTTTATTTGTCTGTTTTTATTTTTTTAATTTTTCGACCCTAACCGAACCCCTTTAAAGAGGAGTTTCCTTATCTCGTATTGTTGTGGATATATTTCTCTCTAAATATGCTTCTCTCGGCCTTCGTCCGTCTGCAGGTGAGTCTAGAAGCCCAGGGTTCCTCCGATAGTGGACGCCAAGATCACTCCCAGGATTACGCAGCAGATGATGATCATGATCTTCTTCTGCAGAGGGACAAAGAGAAAAAAACAGTGATGAGTTTTCCGAAAGGGTCCGAGATTGAAAACTACTATGTGTTTGTGAATTGAGAAGGTACATACAAAAATTTGAGCTTTCTCAGAAAAAAAATACATAATTCTTTCAACAGCTTTGGGAATGTTCTCCTGGCGTGTTCCCTCGAGCAACGTCCTTATATGTTATTTGTATAAATATTTCAGGTAAGACTTTGAAGTGAGGTAAAGCCTTTCCTTCTCAACTCTGACCCTAAAGGGGGCTTCACAAAGCGGGTCTCACTTTCTCTGCCTAACCCAAGCCCAAAATGAAAGCTGTCCAATAGGAATGCTCCTTACTTCTTCTCTCATTTACTTTGAGCGTAGGTTATCTGGCTAACTGAGAAACCCTGCTTTGAGACATGATCAAGCTCCTTTCTGGACTCCGTCTTGTCTCAGAATTGACCATGATCTTTACTCTAAACTGATCTCTTCTGGACTTGGTCTTGTCTTTGACTCGATCCTTTATGGTCTTAGGGTGTTTTCACACTTGTCCGGAATACTTGAGTCCGCACCCAGGACCGATTCTGGGCTCGTTTAGGGGAAGGGTTCATTTTAACTGGTTTGCTTTCACACACAAAAATTTCCTCCGAACTGTGGACCGATTGTGCAGTTCCATACGTCACTTCTCTGTGTGCAGGTTTGCAGAATGGTTGGCATTAGCTTTTTATTATTTTCCTTGGATACAAACTCTGAAGTTGTGAAGAACAGTGCTTTCTGTCCAAAGCAGTCATCTCCTTGCCATCACGTATCTTGAAAACAGAAGTGTCGTGATAGGTTGAAGCAGACACGTTACTGGAAGTGAACCCCACACCGCCGATAACAGGAGGACCTGAGATCGGTTCTCTGGACCACTCCCGGGCTCAAAAATAGCTTTCACACTTGACCAAACATACTGAACTTGGAGATCAAGCAGTCTGGGTCCGGAAAAAACTCTAGTGTGAAAACACCCTTAGTCTTGTCTCCGATGCTGCCCTTCCCAGGATCAGCCTTATCACAGACTTCTTCTGCACATGGTCTTATTTCAGACTCGACCCTTTTTTGGACTTGGTCTTATCTCAGATTCCACCATTTCTGGGTTTGGTCTTATCTCAACCTTTTCTGGACTTGGTCTTATCTCAGATTCCACCCTTTCTGGTCTTGGTCTTATCTCAAACTCAACCCTTCCCATACTCAGTCTTATCTCTTACTCGATCCTTTCTGGACTCTGTCTTGTCTCTAATTTGACATGGATTTCATTCAGGAGTAAACAGTATGAATCTGCACCCACCAGAACTGATTGAAACCCATTTTTTCCAGAGTGTACCTTCCTGACCTGGAACAAGCCTTATGTGTGGGTGTATATGTGGGTAAGTGTATTTACCTTGCGCGCTTGGCTCTGGTATTTGACGGCCTTCTTGGTGTCAGACACTGCTCTTTCTACATAGTCTACTGAGTGTTCCACGTTGTACTCAATTCTGTCAATCATCTCACCCTGGCAATGACAAAAAAATCACACTGTTAAAATCTTACAGGCAGATCAGGTCACATACACAAACATTTCAATATACCTTCTTTCTTCCTGTGGGGTCTGACAAACAACCTTTTTTCCACAGTGACACACACAGGCGCACTAAACATCCCTCTATCCTTTATGAACTAAACATAGAAGCCACATTTCCTTATTTCCTTATTTCCCAGAGGCATTTGCAACTTCAGTGTAACTGGGTTGACTGCAGCAGACTGTAGGAAGTTTTTGTTTTTGTTTTTGTCCCCTGGCAATAAAAGGAGAAATATTCATTCAGGCTATGCATGTAAATACCCTGCTGAGTGCTGCATTTCTCAAAAACAGAATTCTGCATTTGGGTTGAGGCTTCATTCTGGTTTATCCTGAGGTCAAGACATGAAAACCACGTCAGCATTGATTGGAACAGCTGGTATCTAGGAGCTGCATGACTTCAGATTTTTAAAGTCAACAGTTATGTGAGGAAAGTCGAGTTGCCGTGGACTAATTGCTGAAGACATCATGAATAAAACCACAGGAGAAGAGAACGCTTTGCAGCAAGTGACTTTAAAAAACTGACTTTAAAAATCTGTATGAAAACTCCTCAGGTCAGTAGAGCGTCACGTGCCTTTTCTGACAAGCCCTGTATCACATCGCTAGCCTTCGGGGAACCGGAGATACGGACCCTGGAATCTCGCAAATTTGTATCGGACCTATCAGACGCACCCTAGGTGACTTTGTCGAGATGCTCGCCTGCGGTGGAGGTTAAAAGAGCCAAAGAAATTTAGAGCGCCATAAGTTGGCGAAAATAAGAGTACCCAACTTCAAATTTTACAGGATTACTGGATATTATGCTCCAACCACACATGACTTATTATCGTAGTCTTTGGGAAACCGGAGATAACAGCGTTAAACGTGATCTTTGAAGGGCTGTACATCGACAGAGAAATAGTAGAGCGAAGCCAAACTCTGTCAGTACAGCGTGACGTGTCCTTTCCAACGAGGATCTGGATCATTTTGCTAGCCTTCAGGAAACCGGTGATCCAGACCCTGAAATCACCAGGCTCCTCACCAGATTTAGCTAACAAGTAATGGAAGCTTATACACCACCAGTTAGCACTGTGTGCAAACTGCATGTCAAGATCAAGCTGCAAAACGTGTTTCAACAAATTTGGCTGCTACTTTTTAAACTATTTAACCGTTTTGTTGTGATATAGACTTACATTACTTGTTAGCTAAATCATCCCCATAACTCCAGTGCTACAACTTCAGACACCAAACATGTCTTGGCTGAATTTTCGGGAAATTAATTTTTTGCCATAATATTGTTTTAACACAGCATTATTTAGCTGAGGACAGTGGCTTTTCTCTGGTTTCTGACCTCAGCTGACAAACAACAGATTCCTCCTTAAACGTGTTGGAAAAGGTGACATCTATCAGGACTGGTCAGTACAGGGAACACTCGAATTAATTTATTAATTTGGTTATATGAACCATGACAAGGTTGGTATCACATAGTTTGTCGCACTTATGCTAATGAAGTTATGAAGAGTAAAATCTGCACAAACTGAGCTAACCTGTAGATGATCAGGTGGTTTCAGGTGGAACAGTTCATTGAGTATCTAACCGTTTTAGGGTGCTTTCCCACCTGCCTTGTTTGGTCTGTACCTTTGGACTTTTCAGTTTGGTCCAAACCAAAATAGCGGGTGTGAAAGATGCCTCGGACCAAAGGACTGAAATTTGGCCAACCAAAAGAGGTGGTCTCGGTCCAGGTAAAACTAAGGCATGGTCCAGTTCGTCTGCAGTGTGAAAACACTTTTTTGATGGTTCGGACTTTCAGATTGATTACAGGAAGCTGAGGCAGGATATCATCACCTATTAAACAATATAAGAAGAAAAAGACCCGGGAGAGAAGTAAGAGTGAGCTGCGGTAGCTCACGGGCAGGAGACCAGATATTTAACTGGGATTTGGTCCAAAGAAAAAGTCATATGTCAATTTGATAAAAAGCATAAAAATGCAGAAACGTATCCCTCATTCTCTAAGAGGATGAGAGAGAAGGGATTTTCATTTTTCTCAATTCAAACCGAAAAGGCCGCCCACCAACTGTCCTCCTCAAACCAATTAGTGTCTAGTACCGGGAGATGCAGCCCACGCAGGTGATGACGACGCTGGTGTGCCATGCAGAGTTCTTCAGTGCTTGCTAAACTGCAATATAAACCGAAACTAACCAGATCAAATGTAGACAGTACAATAAAAACACGAACTTTGATCTGGACTTTCAGGTGTGAAAACCTATCTAGACATTAAGACTTATCCATATATTCTCACTGCATTGAATTTAGTATTGCAAAATGACGACACGAGGCTTCTCAGGGTTGAGAAAGCCTCCCTGTCTTCTCAATGAAGACGTATGTGCTATTCTACCATACGAGTTTGTTCTTTTGAAGGAACTCTGCTCAGCCCCCACTGGCCGTATCCATATGCCCACACAGCTTGAATAGCGGGGGTGCCAGACTGCAGCCACACAGTGTAACAAAATGGAAGCTCATGAGTGACGGGATGCCTGTACGAGGTCAGGCAATCCCTCCTGCACCCCGACAGTCCTGTTCACTGAGGGCTGGGGTTGGGCGATATGCATAAAAATGGATATCTCAATATTTTTCAGCATTTTGCCAATACATGATAGGCTTGTCACAATTATTACATAATCACCTGATCACATTTATTTTAGCTGATTGCACTTATTTTCCACCATCACACGTTCATGTTGGAGGAAACAGAGTGAGAATTGGGTGAGTTTTAATCAGCTGGGTTATGACAATGCCTTGTACAAACCCAGCTCCAAAAAAGTAGGGACAGATTGTGAAACACCAAAAAAACAGAGAGCAGTGATCAGTAACTTCACTACATGTTTGGTACTCAGCAGTGCATGGAGCACAAGGTACAACAAGGTTTGGGTGGAGAACTATGGTGTTACTGGAGAATTTTGGTGTTTGGTGGACAATGATGGGTTTGTTAGAATGTTAGTATTGTTGCTAGGAGTGATTACGCTTAGAGAAGAATGATGTCTGGTGGAGAATGATGGTGTTTGGTTGGAGAATGGTGGTGTTTGGTTGGAGAATGGTGGTGTTAGGAGCCTGGCCACTTCCTATCCCCCCGTTGTATCAAAAACAGGACTGCTAAACAGCAGAGGGCGCCCGTGAGGGAGTCCTCAATAAATGGGAGTGAATGGAGCTCAATGGCTAATATGATGGTGTTTGGAGAATAATGATATGTGTTTGAGAATGCTGGTGTTTGAGAATGATGGTGTTTGAGAATGCTGGTGTTTGGAGGAGAATGCTGGTGTTTGAGAATGCTGGTGTTTGGAAAATAATGATGTGTGTTTGAGAATGCTGGTGTTTGAGAATGTTGGTGTTTGGAGAAGAATGGTGGTGTTTGTTGGAGAATGTTGGTATTTGGAGGAGAATGTTGGTGTTTGGAGGAGAATGGTGGTGTTTGGAGGAGAATGGTGGTGTTTGTTTGAGAATGGTGGTGTTTGAGAATGGTGGTGTTTGAGAATGCTGGTGTTTGTTGGAGAATGATGCTGTTTGTTGGAGAATAGTGGTGTTTGGAAGAGAATGGTGGTGTTTGAAAATGTTGGTCTTTGTTGGAGAATGATGCTGTTTGTTGGAGAATAGTGGTGTTTGGAGGAGAATGGTGATGTTTGAAAATGTTGGTCTTTGTTGGAGAATGATGCTGTTTGTTGGAAAATGGTGGTGTTTGAGAATGTTGGTGTTTGTTGGAGAATGGTGGTGTTTGAGAATGTTGGTGTTTGTTGGAGAATGATGGTGTTTGTTGGAGAATGGTGGTGTTTGAGAATGGTGGTGTTTGTTGGAGAATGGTGATGTTTGAGAATGGTGGTGTTTGAGAATGGTGGTGTTTGTTTGAGAATGGTGATGTTTGAGAATGGTGGTGTTTGAGAATGGTGGTGTTTGTTTGAGAATGGTGGTGTTTGAGAATGGTGGTGTTTGAGAATGTTGGTGTTTGTTTGAGAATGATGGTGTTTGTTGGAGAATGGTGGTGTCTGAGAATGGTGGTGTTTGTTGGAGAATGGTGATGTTTGAGAATGGTGGTGTTTGAGAATGGTGGTGTTTGTTTGAGAATGGTGGTGTTTGAGAATGGTGGTGTTTGAGAATGTTGGTGTTTGTTTGAGAATGATGGTGTTTGTTGGAGAATGGTGGTGTTTGAGAATGGTGGTGTTTGTTGGAGAATGGTGGTGTTTGAGAATGTTGGTGTTTGTTTGAGAATGATGGTGTTTGTTGGAGAATGGTGCTGTTTGTTGGAGAATGGTGATGTTTGAGAATGGTGGTGTTTGTTGGAGAATGGTGGTGTTTGAGAATGGTGGTGTTTATTGGAGAATGGTGGTGTTTGAGAATGGTGGTGTTTGTTGGAGAATGGTGGTGTTTGAGAATGGTGGTGTTTATTGGAGAATGGTGGTGTTTGTTGAATGGTGGTGTTTGTTGGAGAATGGTGGTGTTTGTTGGAGAATGGTGATGTTTGAGAATGGTGGTGTTTGTTGGAGAATGGTGGTGTTTGTTGGAGAATGGTGGTGTTTATTGGAGAATGGTGGTGTTTGAGAATGGTGGTGTTTGTTGGAGAATGGTGGTGTTTATTGGAGAATGGTGGTGTTTGTTGAATGGTGGTGTTTGTTGGAGAATGGTGGTGTTTGTTGGAGAATGCTGGCATTGCTGGATAACGATGATGCTTGTTGAAGAAAGCTGGATTACAGCTCTTCATCCAGTGCACTTTGCTGAAAGGAACTCCTTTGATGTTTTCTTTGAAAGACATCCCCTGCACTCTTACCTGGCTCTCCACCAGCATGGCCATGTCCAGAAACATATCGTGAAGCTCACGGATGCTGTTCTCCAGCTTAATGATCTCATGGTGTCGGGTCTCGATCTCGTTTAGGGCCTGCTTGGTCATCTGGGAGTCCATTTTGATCTGCAGTGCGATGGAGGACAGAAAACAGAACACAGTTCAAAACTTTAAATGTTTCATCTGAAAAACAGACGAAAATATTCTCCCAAAAAAAGACAAACCTTGACCGGAGTTTGACTTCGAGCTTGATGGCTTAAAGGTGTGTCTTTAATAATAAAAGCCTGAAAAAGATTCTAGAACCAAAACCCTCAGGGCCAGATGTTCTTACGAGCAGAGACGCAGAGCAAAATGTGCCTTGATGCGACCGCAGTGCGCCTCCACAATGCCCCCGAATTTAACGTTCGTTTTACTCGTTTTATTTAAGCAGGCAAATGGTTTTATAAAGGACTCATGGTTGTAAAGAGAACCGCTGCCTTTACTGAAGAACGCTTGCAGAACCATCTTTTTCAGTGTGTACAGCACATATAGATAGATATAGTTGGCATATTCTAATTTAGTAATGAACGGCTCACCGGTCAGTCAGTATCTCTGATTTTACGGCTTTGAAACAACATAAACACTTGTTATGAGGTTCTCATTTCTGGGGCTGCAGTGTGTTTGTGGTGTGTGTGTCGGTGTGGAACTGAGTTCTGTCTGGCTGGTGCAGGTTTTGGTTTTTGGGGTTTCGTGGTGGACGTTTCACTCACATCATCGGTGAAGACGGCGAGCTTGCCGCTCTCCAGCATGTCCTCCAGCTCCTCGTTGGTGGTTGTTCTTCCAGCTGATCAAAGTGCAAACATTACAGTGTTTATTAGAAATACATACACAACAGACACAGAATCAGGTTTCTCATAGATATATTCCCTTTCTATAAAAAGCATACACTTTGAAAAAATATGGTTCTTCAAGGGTTCTTTAGTGAAGAAAATGGTTCTATATAGAACCATGAACACTCAAAGAACCTTTTGCACGATCAAAGCGTTCTTTGCCTCGTGAAAGCGTTCTTCAGACTGCAGATTGTAGAGTGGGGTAGATGGTTCTATATGACACCAAAAAGGGTTCTGCTATTGTAACGATGTCAAGCCTGTAACAATATCAGAACCAATTTTGGTGCTACATAGAACCGTAGAATCAAAAAGATTCTATATAAAACCATATACAGCACATTCTCCATCAATCTGAAGAACCATGTCACCATGCAAAGGGTTATTTTCAGTGTTCATGTTTCTTTATAGAACCATTTTCTTTACTAAAGAACCCTTGAAGAACCATCTTTTTCAAGTGCATGTAAAATGTTTTCAATAATAATAAATCCAGTCTGGTTGCAGATAAACATATAAAACGGCTCTGATCTGCTTCTCAGCTGTCAGATGTTCAGTATAAGGCTGTAAAGAAGAATGAATGAATGTTAAATCCAGAAGATTCTAACATGACTGAGAAATCTGTCGCATTTCTCCACAAACAGATCATATAAATACACTGCAAAAATGTGTGCGCCGCTGGACAAACTCCATGAGTGTGAATAAGTGAACACATCCTCTACAGAGACTCACTTGTTGGACAGATGTTTTATTTTCTATCCAAAACCACCAGTAAATAAAATGTCTATATTTGTGTTGTAGTCATGGCGACCCCTGGTTCCTATCACCACCACTGTAAAGACATCTGAACCATTTCACACCAAACCACTCTGAATCTCTCTGATTACACCTCACACACTGAATTATGGGAGAATTTTGAAAAATTGGTGTGATTCCCCTTAAATTTGTTTTAAATTCTTACAGTTTGTTTACTAAAGGATACAAGTATTACAGTAGAGGTGGGAAAAATATTTGATTCTCTCATGAATTGATTCGCTTTTTTATAGGCTCAACATTCAACTGACAACCTCATCGAAATGCTGACAAAGGTTAGCAACAGCGCAGTGGTGTTATTTAGACTAAAAGGCTTTTTTCTTTTAAGATAGAAATGTTTACATTAAATGCTGCTAAATATGCACATTTATGATCGACAGTCATTTCATAATCACGTCTCAGCACCCGGATTAAAAACCTAACTGAACCACAAGCTGCCTGGAGATTCTGACCTCTATATTATTTATTACTGTAAGACCCCGTTTATACCTGGTCACTTCCTGTGTCCAGTATCTGGATTATATCCTGAGGAGATTTTAGCCTCCTGCATTTACACTTGGTAATCAAATGCGTCTCCAGTTAGTCAGACTGAAATCTGATTGCTGTGCGAGACGAAATATGCAAATCAGCTCGTTATGCAGCAACCAATTACCAACTTTTGTACTAGGAGTTTCGGTTGTACTGGGAGGAGTTTCATTTGTACTGGGAAGAGTTTCAGTACTGGGAGGAGCTTCAGTTGTACTAGGAGGGGTTTTGGTTGTACTGGGAGGAGTTTCAGTTGTACTGGGAGGCGTTTTGGTTGTACTGGGAGGAGTTTTCTTGTAGTGGGAGGGATTTTGTTTGTACTAGGAGGGGTTTCAGTTGTACGAGGGGGAGTTTTGCTTGTTCTAGGAGGAGTTTTAGTTGTAGTGGGAGGAGGTTTGGTCATACTGGAAGGAGTTTTGCTTGTAGTGGGAGGAGTTTTGGTTGCACTTGGAGAAGTTATAGTTGTAATGGGAGGGGTTTCGGTTGCACTGGGAGGAGTTTTGGTTGTCGAGCGTGTCTTGGAGAGACGGATGTGTTTACGCTGCTATAATGTGGCTCAAATGCGTCTCAGTCCACCTCCTGAAGTGCTCTGTGTGATCAGATCTGTATCTGTTTAAATGCATTTTGGCTGCGTTTACACTGCATTTTCATCCAGATATAATCCTGATACTCAAGACACCTGAAGGGACCAGGTGTAAACGGGGTCTCGGGGCCTAAGAGTACTATAGGAATATTATATATAATTAAAGACACGGACTTTAGTTTACTACAGAATACCACAAAAATATTATACTTTACTATAAGAATTCTACAGAAATATTATTTATTATTATAGGCAATTAGTTTACTGCAGAACACTACGTATATATTATACTCTCCTATAAGAGCACTACAGAAATGTTACATTATAGATTATTATAGACATATTATACAGCACTATAGGCATCTTATAGTTTATTATGATATTAATATAGAGCTTTTTCGTCTTCCTAAGAAAGTCTGATAATTCAGCCTCATGTTAAAGAAGGTCTGTGGTTTTTGATACCTGTGTTGAGGGAGCCGTGTGTGTTTGTGTGTGTGTGTGTGTGTTTGTGTGTGTGTGTGTTTGTGTGTGTGTGTGTGTGTGTTTGAGAGTGTGTGTGTGTTTGAGTGTGAGTGTGTGTGTGTGTGTGTGTGTGTGTGTGTGTGTGTGTGAGTGTGTGTGTTTGAGTGTGTGTGTGTGTGTGTGTGTGTGTGTGTGTGAGTGACTCACTGATCTCCAGCTGTCTCTGGATGCGGTCCTTGCAGCGGTCTCTGTATTTGGACTGCGTGGTGTTGTACTCAGTCATCACCTCCACAAACTTGCGGGACAGCGTGGAGTGCTGCAGAAAGAAGGGGGGAGAGGGGGATGAGGAGGGTGGACAGAGGAGGAACGTGGTGGAGACAGAGCCCCAGAGCTCCAGGGTTCATCCTGACTGAGGTTAGTGAAGCAGCGTCGCTGAGGAACAAACCGTTTACAGCAGCTTCAGTTTGTGCTGCCATGGCAGAAAAGGCCTTGCTGATTCCACGACTGACCAGCAGAGGGGGCTAATGAGACAGTGCGGCCTACCACAGGAAGATGACTCTGTGTTTTAATGTGGCGCCACCATTTCTAAATATTAACCCCTGAGCATGTATGCTTTTTATTGAGTTATTAATCTTAATACTTATTATTCAGTATCTAATATGAATTATTTGGTCTTATTCAGTGCATAATATTAATTATTTGGTCTTATTCAGTATCTAATATGAATTATTTGGTCTTATTCATTATCTAGTATGATTTATTTAATCCTGTTCAGTCTCTAATATGAATTATTTGGCCTTATTCAGTCTCTTATGTGAATTATTTGGCCTTATTCAGTCTCTAATGTGAATTATTAAGTCTTATTCATTATCTAGTATGATTTATTTAATCTTACTCAGTCTCTAATATGAATTATTTGGCCTTATTCAGTCTCTAATATGAATTATTTGGCCTTATTCAGTCTCTAATATGAATTATTTAGCCTTATTCGGTCTCTAATGTGAATTATTAAGTCTTATTCATTATCTAGTGTGAATTATTAAGTCTTATTCATTATCTAGTATGATTTATTTAATCTTACTCAGTCTCTAATATGAATTATTTGGCCTTATTCAGTCTCTAATATGAATTATTTGGCCTTATTCAGTCTCTAATATGAATTATTTAGCCTTATTCAGTCTCTTATGTGAATTATTAAGTCTTATTCATTATCTAGTATGATTTATTTAATCTTACTCAGTCTCTAATATGAATTATTTGGCCTTATTCAGTATTTAGTCTGTGGTGTGGACCCACATTCAGACCCTCAGATTTGAAAGGGTCAAAATAGCCTGTTATATTTCATATATAGATGCCTTTACAGCTCTTGCTGTGAATATCAGATGTTGTTATGAAGTCAGATTGATGGATTATTGAAACACTGCTGCAGAAATTCAGCTCTTTATGTGGTAAAAAGCATTTTCTGTGTGTAATGTGGAAACCAGGCGAGTGACGGCAGCCCTGCTGATATTAAACGCTCCTCTCTGAGAGCTGCAGTGTGAACAGAAGAGTGAAGGATGAGGGAACGTGTTATAAGCCTCCTTCCTCCTGACCTGTTTACAGCTAGAAAATCATGTCATATTATGTCAGACTTTATATCATTCCTGTTATATAATTGTGTGGGAACTGCAAGCAACAGCCTCCTCGAGTGAAAGAGAGAGGAATCAGAAAGTGACGGCGCATCTTCACTGTTTCAGAGCACGGAGCAGATTTTAATTCAGGCAGACGAACACTCAGTCACATCCACAGCGCAGATGTTTTAGAACCGCCTCGCTTCATGTTTATACACTCTTAAAAACGATGGTTCTTCAAGGGTTCTTTAGTAAACTGAATATGAATCATTTTATCTTATTCAGTCTCTAATATGAATCATTTTATCTTATTCAGTCTCTAATATGAATCATTTTATCTTATTTAGTCTCTAATATGAATTATTTTGTCTTATTCAGTCTCTAATATGAATCATTTTATCTTATTTAGTCTCTAATATGAATCATTTTGTCTTATTCAGTCTCTAATATGAATCATTTTGTTTTATTCAGTCTCTAATATGAATCATTTGGTCTTATTTAGTCTCTAATATGAATTATTTGGTCTTTTTCAGTCTCTAATATGAATTATTTTATCTTATTCAGTCTCTAATATGAATCCTTTTGTCTTATTTAGTCTCTAATATGAATCATTTGGTCTTATTCAGTCTCTAATATGAATTATTTGGTCTTATTCAGTCTCTAATATGAATTATTTGGCCTTTTTCAGTCTTGAATCTGAATTATTTGGCCTTATTCAGTCTCTATTGTGAATCATTTTGTCTTATTCAGTCTCTAATATGAATCATTTTGTCTTATTCAGTCTCTAATATGAATGATTTTTTTAGTCAGGCCAAATAATTCATATTAGAGACTGAATAAGACAAAATGATTCATATTAGAGACTGAATATGACCAGTAAAGACAATCTAAAGATAATGGTTCTATACAGAACCATAAACACTCAAAGAACCATTTACATGCTTAAAAGGTTCTTTGTTTGGCGAAATTGTTCTTTAGATTGATGGAGAATGTGTTATATATGGTTCTATACAGAAACTTTTTTAAAAAAGGTTCTAAATAGCACCAAAAAAGGTTCTGCTACTGCAACAAGCTTGACATCTTAACAACAGCAGAACCCTTTTTGGTGCTATACAGAACCATATACAGAACATTCTCCATCAATCTGAAGAACCATGGAAAAAACCATTTAAGCATGCAGATGATTCTTTCAGTGCTTATGGTTCTATACTGAACCACTGCATTTACTAAAGAACCCTTGAAGAACCATCTTTATGAAGGGTGTGCTCTGATCACTCACCTGTGTCTTGCGGATCCGCAGGTCCGCTGATGATCTGTTCATGACCTCCTCCTGCTCGATGCTCTGCTCGATTGCTGAGGAGAGGAAAAGAGAGTGATTACAGAAAACAGCCGCTGTCTCCGCCCCCCGTCTCCCTGAGTGACGAGCACGTCCTGCAGATGGACTTACAGAACTATAAACACTCACTAACATGACAAGACTGACACAAATACTGGCTTTATTTCCAGAGCACTCAGACCCCGTCAGCACGGTCACAGATACTCCTGAGAACGTAGGTTTTCCTCTGTGTTTCTGTCCTTCTATAATTATGAGATACTCAGTCATAAATATGAGATACTCAGTCATAAATATGAGATGCTAAGTCATAATTACAGAAAACTTTCTTATTATTATGATCTACTACACGGCTATAAATTTTTCCAGTGGTGGAAACTGGCTTCCACTCTCCAGAGGGGAGGTTTTAGGAAACATCCAGTGTTTTCGTGTGGACAGTTATAATGGGCTAAACTGCTGTAGCTGAATGGTGGGGCTAAACTGCTGTAGCTGAATGGTGGAGCTAAACTGCTGTAGCTGAATGGTGGAGCTAAACTGCTGTAGCTGAATGGGCGGGGCTGAACTACTGTGGGCTGAATGGGCGGGGCTGAACTACTGTGGGCTGAATGGGCGGGGCTAAAGTGCTGTAGGCTGAATAGGTGGATCTAAACTGCTGTGGGCTGAATGGGCGGAGCTAAACTGCTGTAGGCTGAAAGGGTGGGGCTAAACTGCTGTAGGTTGAGTGGGTGGGGCTAAACTGCTGTAGACTGAATGGGTGGGGCTAAACTGCTGTAGGCTGAAAGGGTGGGGCTAAACTGCTGTAGACTGAATGGGTGGGGCTAAACTGCTGTAGACTGAATGGGTGGGGCTAAACGGCTGTAGGCTGAATGGGTGGGGCTAAACTGCTGTAGACTGAATGGGTGGAGCTAAACTGCTGTAGACTGAATGGGTGGGGCTAAACTGCTGTAGGCTGAATGGGTGGGGCTAAACTGCTGTAGACTGAATGGGTGGAGCTAAACTGCTGTAGGCTGAAAGGGTGGGGCTAAACTGCTGTAGACTGAATGGGTGGGGCTAAACTGCTGTAGACTGAATTGGTGGCTCTAAACTGCTGTAGACTGAATGGGCGGGACTAAGCTGCTATAGTCTTCAATTCCTTATACCTTTGTGTTTTAAAGGTGGGTTCCGGTCGTCCCGCCGTGTCTCATATCAGAATCATGTTCAAATCTGAGTCAAACCCAGCAGCCATAATGGTGAACAGCATTAATCACGCTGCGCTGCTGTTCTTCAGCTTTAATATCGACAGCTGCATCTTCAAAGTCCTCCTGATGCAATTTGGAGGAAACAGCTACCGGAGTGGGAGTTTGGATCACGGCAAAAAGGAAAAAAGATAAAAAAGAGAAAAAGAAAGAAAAAGACAGACAGGGGTGAAGAATGCGACTCAGCAGCCTGGCATGCTTTCCCGAGGCTCTTCAGACGGAAAGGGCTTCAAAAGGAGATTAGTCCAAACTCCCACCAGCTCAGCAGAGTGAGCTCAGAAACACCCCCCCCCACCCCCAGCACTGCAGTCTGAATGACTGATCAGGTCAGTCTTTACTTCCCTCTTAGGTTAAAAACATCTCAGCACACCTAAATATGATGTCACTTGCAAATGTCAGAGAAAATCCCTTCATTTATTCAATTTTCATTGATAACGACATTAAAAAGAAGAACATTTACACTAGAACCCCAAAACTGGACGTCTGAGATGTGGAGAAAAGTTTTATGGACTGATGAGATCTTTGGCAGCGTCTCCACCACCAAAGACTATCAGTCAAGCATGATGGAGGATCAGAGCAGGTTTGCAACTCCAGATGTTGGAGGCGTCATGAACGCTGAACGCAAACTAATGTTATTAGATTATGCAGTTTGCTCAGTAAAAAGTTTAATTGGGAAGATTCCACAGCGAGATGACGACCCCAACCTCGTTGCTGAGAAGATGAAGGCAAACAAGCTGAACAATGGACTGACCACCCCAGAGTCCAGACCTCAACATCACTGAATGTGTTTGATCACTTCAGAAAATGATCAACCAGCTTCTAAGACTGAACTTTGGAGGTGTGTCTGCAGATTCTTTGAGGAACTGAAAGAGAGGCTCCTGAAAAGAATGGAAGTTTATCTGGGCTTAGATGGTGGAGGTTCTGTATGTGGGTTTGGACGGAGGAGGTTCTGTACGTGGGTTTGGATGGAGGAGGTTCTGTACGTGGGTTTGGATGGAGGAGGTTCTGTATATGGGTTTAGATGGTGGAGGTTCTGTATGTGGGTTTAGATGGTGGAGGTTCTGTTTGTGGGTTTAGATGATAGAGGTTCTGTGTGTGGGTTTAGATGGAGGAGGTTCTGTATGTGGGTTTAGATGGTGGAGGTTCTGTATGTGGGTTTAGATGGTGGAGGTTCTGTTTGTGGGTTTAGATGATAGAGGTTCTGTGTGTGGGTTTAGATGATGGAGGTTCTGTATGTGGGTTTGGATGGAGGAGGTTCTGTACGTGGGTTTAGATGGTGGAGGTTCTGTATATGGGTTTAGATGGTGGAGGTTCTGTATATGGGTTTAGATGGTGGAGGTTCTGTTTGTGGGTTTAGATGATAGAGGTTCTGTATGTGGGTTTAGATGGTGCAGGTTCTGTATGTGGGTTTAGATGGAGGAGGTTCTGTATGTGGGTTTACATGATGGAGGTGGTTTATGTGGGTTTAGATGGTGGAGGTTCTGTATATGGGTTTAGATGGTGGAGGTTCTGTTTGTGGGTTTAGATGATAGAGGTTCTGTGTGTGGGTTTAGATGGTGGAGGTTCTGTGCGTGGGTTTGGATGGTGTAGGTTCTGTATGTGGGTTTGGAGGGTGGAGGTTCTGTATGTAGGTTTAGATGGTGGAGGTTCTGTATGTGGGTTAAGATGGTGGGGGTTCTGTTTGTGGGTTTGGAGGGTGGAGGTTCTGTATGTGGGTTTAGATGGTGGAGGTTCTGTATGTGAGTTTGGAGGGTGGAGTTTATCTGGGTTTAGATGGTGGAGGTTCTGTATGTGGGTTTGGAGGGTGGAGGTTCTATTTGTGGGTTTGGATGGTGGAGTTTATCTGGGTTTAGATGGTGGAGGTTCTGTACATGGGTTTGGATGGAGGAGGTTCTGTTTGTGGGTTTAGATGGTGGAGGTTCTGTACATGGGTTTGGATGGAGGAGGTTCTGTTTGTGGGTTTGGATGGAGGAGGTTCTGTTTGTGGGTTTAGATGGTGAAGGTTCTGTATGAGGGTTTAGATGGAGGAGGTTCTGTATATGGGTTTAGATGGTGCAGGTTCTGTATGTGGGTTTAGATGGTGGAGGTTCTGTTTGTGGGTTTAGATGGAGGAGGTTCTGTATGTGGGTTTAGATGGTGGAGGTTCTGTATGTGGGTTTAGATGGAGGAGGTTCTGTATGTGGGTTTAGATGGAGGAGGTTCTGTATGTGGGTTTGGATGGAGGAGGTTCTGTATGTGGGTTTGGATGGAGGAGGTTCTGTGTGTGGGTTTGGATGGAGGAGGTTCTGTTTGTGGGTTTAGATGGAGGAGGTTCTGTTTGTGGGTTTAGATGGTGGAGGTTCTGTTTGTGGGTTTGGAGGGTGAAGATTCCGTAGGCATGTTCCTGCTTTGGCTCTCTGCCTGTGGCTTCTCTGGAAACAGTGATGACTCAGCTGTATTGCACAGTGACACTGAAGGAGGGTCTGAGATGCTGAGCTACAGCGACGCTGGACTGAATATCAATAGCGCTGCTGGGGGTTTAAGGGTTATTGATCCGGAGTGAGTTTTTAACAGTGTTGTTAAAATGGAGATTCCCAGGCTCGGGCTGGAACCGCACTTTAGGGAGTTTCCAGATGTTGGGTGGGAATTCCGCTCGGGCCATTTCAATAAAAGCTCTGTTATGAGTGTCGAAGCTCCGCCCTCAGAGACACACAGACTGTCTGTTTTGTACTGTATGCTAAAATTGCCCAAACGATCAGAATTTCTGTCTGAATCTGCTGTATGTGCAATTTAAATTTTCGGGTGGATACAGATAAAAATATTAAGATCTCATATAACTGGCCGATATAATTTTTATTGAACATTTTAGAAAGATGAAATGAGTTTTTAACCATTTTGATGGCAGGAATTAAAGCATAAATAAAAACAATATTCTAATATTATCAGTTACATTAATAATAATGATAAAAATGTGGATTTTAGCAGTTAGGCCACAAACCCCTCCCGGGCCCAGTATCAAACGATTGACAGCTCGTTTTTTGGGAACCTCTGTGCTAGACTGCTCTGTTACTGAGGACAGAACCCTGAACCCCAACACACAGAGTAAAGCTGCACACCTGGCTGTAGAATTATGATTTATACAACAACACGACAGAAATGAAGAGAATGAAGGGTCTGTCAGTGAGATTACCTTTTAATTTTAAGCGCACTTTATTGGCTGTCTTCTTGATGTCGGCTGTGAGGTCCTCCAACTCCTGCTTAGTCTCTGAGTGACGAGAGAGAGAGAGAGAGAGAGAAAAAAGATAGTGAAGATGCAGACAGAGAGATAAAGCAGCACCATCAGTCTGGTTAATGAATATTTTATAGAGCTGAACTAGGTCTGCATTTCTGGCAGCATGTTTGTTAAATATTCAACATCATTTGCGGTGAATAAGCACTGTGTAACATTAAGTGTACTTTGCTCTGTGCACAAGGGTGGAATTACTTTCACGCAGGTTATAATATCAATAAACAAATAAAAGAATGTGTTCTGTCAATTTTAGTACAATGTTGTGTCTCTTCAACACAATTCAATACAGACAGTTTCAGAACATTAAAGGGTCTCCACAGCCTCTTAAACGAGCTTACGTCACACTTTCCCCTGCAGATCATTCAGAAAAAAAAGATGTGAACATGTTTTTGCTCATATTGAAAATATATATATATACTAAATATATTTAACTGTGCCACTTTTAATATGTAAATATATGTAAATATATGCACATATACACTGATCAGCCATAGACTGTTTCTCTGCATACTTTGTTACCCTGTTCTTCAGTGGTCAGAACCCCCATGAACCCTCACAGAGCAGCATCTGGGTGGTGGATCATTCTCAGCACTGCAGTAACACTGACGTGGTGATGGTGTGTTAGTGTGTGTTGCGCTGGTCTGAGTGGATCAGACACAGCAGTGCTGCTGGAGTTTTTAAACACCTCAGTGTCACTGCTGGACTGAGAAAAGTCCACCAACCAAAAATATCCAGCCAACTGCGTCCTGTGGGCAGCGTCCTGTGACCAGCGTCCTGTGACCACTGATGAAGGACTAGAGGATGACCAACACAAACTGTGCAGCAGCAGATGAGCTATCGTCTCTGACTTTACATCTACAAGGTGGACTGACAAGGTAGGAGTGTCTAATAGAGTGGACAGTGAGTGGACACAGTGTTTAAAAACTCCAGCAGCACTGCTGTGTCTCATCCACTCAGACCAGCACAACACACACTAACACACCACCACCACGTCAGTGTCACTGCAGTGCTGAGAATGACCCACCACCCAAATAGTACCTGCTCTGTGGGGGTCCATGGGGGTCCTGACCACTGAAGAACAGGGTGACAAAGTATCAGAGAAACAGATGGACTACAGTCTGTAACTGTAGAACTACAAAGTGCACCTATATAGTAAGTGGAGCTGATAAAATGGACAATGAGTGTAGAAACCAGGAGGTGGTTTCAGTGTTATGGCTGGTTGGTGTACGTCAATATGTTGAAACAGATTAAATATACATAATAGGTTCCATCTTTAATACTTGCATATATGTCAACCATATATGGAAATATATTTCCTGACCTACAAACCACTGAATAAACGGTGTGAAAACAGTTTTAACACCTAAAATGAGAGCTCAGTGCTTCTTTAGGTTCTCACTGGATGTACTGTAAGTCAATAGCCCAAATTAAATGACCAGTGTAGTGGTTTAATAGTGATTACTGCATCCATACGTGCCCTTTTTCTGATGAATAGCACTGAATATGGAAATACATGGATATTGAAGCAATGCGTGGGCAATATGATGATATTTATCGTTATTGTGATAAATTATGTCACATTACATCACAATATTCTTTTCAAAGCATATCATGGGGGCTATCAGTAGATAAAAAACTGCATGTTTCATTACAGAGGGAACATAATTAGTCCTGTTTGACTGGATTTAGTGCAGTGCAGTGGGTGAAACCTTGAATAAAATCATTATATTTATAGTTGTTGATGGTATTTGTTAAATGTGGCACTGCTGGAGCTTTCAGCTCCGTTCCAACTTATCAAAACTCAGAAAAACTAAACGTTGTGATACATTTTGTGTATCATAACAATGTTTTGAATTATTGTGATGTAATATTTTGACATTGTGAATGTGTAACTGAAGCACTTCTGAGTAAAGCCTTAAAGCCAAAGTCTGCCGCACAGCTAAAACTGTAGTCTGTACTGTAGTCCATGTTTATATATAACAGTGGGTCATACAGAGTCAGAAACACCATAATCAAGTCTATTAGAGACACTGAACACCTCCACACAGGTTTGAGGAGAGTGATGTTAGCGTCATGCTAACTGCTGGGGTATAAGCTTCCATTACTTGTCAGCTACATTAGCCTCATAGCTCCAGAGCTAAAACTGAAAATGCAGACTTCAGACACCAAACGTGTCTTGGCTGCTGTCGGCCTTGTCATCATGTCATCAGGAGATCGCAACTTTGATTCCTGGTGATGCTACAGCCGTCCGTGGCCTAGAGTCCGGTTCTGAGAGAACAGTTGTCCTTGATCTCGCTCTCTCTGGGTGGGCAGGATGGCCCCCCATCTCCCCCCATCACAAAGCGTGATGCTAGCCAGCAGAGGTGTCTGTTAGCTGATGCAACAAAACTGGTGGTTAGTGTTCTCCTCCAAGCACATTCAGCTGTCCAGTGTTAGCGGCAGTTTGAAAAGATGCAGTGCTTCACTGCACTCGGAGGAAGCCTGTGCTGCCTCAGCCCTCCTAGCACTGGTGGTATCGTGTGATTGGGGGAGTCATATCTAGGGGTGAAACTAGATACACCTAAATTGGGAAGAAAACTGGGGAGAAAAAGAAAAACGTCTAGGCTGATGGACTACATTAGGGTAAGAGGTGGAGTAATACTTTAACAATTTTCCCAGCTAGCAGGGAATATTGCCCCAACTTTGGCTAATGATTATGTTACATGATGATGTTTTTAGATCCTTATCCTACCTTTAAGAAGGAAAAAAAAACTTCCAGCTGAAAACGTTAATAGAACACATGCATGATATTCTCAGAACGTTTTTAGAACAAAAACCTTCTAGTCGGGTGGAGTGTTTGGTTATTATTTTGTTATTAATCTTTGTTTTCTCAGCCTAATCTCAGTCGGCGGTGCTCAGTCAGGTACCATGGACAGTACATTCAACACACTTTCCTGTGGTTCATTAAAAACTGATCAGAAATCGATCCAAAATTGACTTCAAACAGTAGTCAACGCTGAGCTGTTCACTCAGCCATGTAAACCCTGAAGCCCTGGTGCTGAAACTGACCTATGGATATTAATGCTATGATTTCATACAGAGGATCTATGAGCTGAACTGGACAGTGCTGTTTTTCTGTTTCTTTTGAAATGCCCACAGTCTTCTGACCAGCGTTTTATTTTTGGTCAGCGGTTTTGTAGTTGGGACTGGACTGCAGTCGGGGGCTGATTGATAGTAGCTGCAGTGTCGATCGCCCTCCTACACACTCCTCCGTCTCTCTCACTTCTCTCTCTTTCATCCCTCGCTTCTGTTCTCTCCTTCCTCCACACGCCGACGCTCAACTTCATAAGCGCAGGTTCTTCACTCAGCGTGAGTTATAGGGAGAAGAGCTTCAGCACGAAAATATGGCTCATTTTTTTAATTCTCCTGCTGAAGAAACCCATAAAAACCATTAAAAACCATTAAGTGTTTCTGTTGGTTCCTGATGGTTTTCTAATGTGTTTTGACTTTTTTAATGGGTTGATATCACAGTGTAAAGGATTCTAATGGTTTAACAGGTGACCAGTGACTGATTCTAAATGCATTTGATGGTTTCCTAATGGGATTTAAAGGTGTTCTACAGGAAACTAGTGGCCTCTACTGGAAACCAATTTTCATTAGAAAGCAAAACCATTAGGTTTTAATCCTAAAATCTTAAAAAAAGATGGTTCTTTTGGGTTCTTTAATAAAGAAAATGGTTCTACATAGAACCATGAACACACAAGCAACACTTTGCATTGTTTAATGGTTCTTGAGTTTGACAGAGAATATTCTGTAGATGGTTCTGTATAGAACTTTTTTGAAAAGGGTTCTATATGGCACCAAAAAAGGTTCTTCTGTTGTCACAATTTCAAGCCTGTAACAATAGAAGAACGCTTTTTGGTGCCATATAGAACCCTTTTCAAAAAGAACCATATAAAACACACTCTCCATCTGAAGAACCCTTTCACCATGCAAAGTATTTTTTGTATGTTCATGGTTCTATATAGAACCATTTTCTTTATTAAAGAACCCATAAAGAACCATCTTTTTTAAGTGTGTAATGGTTTCTAATGGTCTTTTTTCTAATGACAGTGTGACTTAAAACAGTGAAACAAAAATCGACAGTAAGAACACCAAAACTCTAAAGTCTAATGTCCCCCAAATGTAGTTTATCTACAGAGGCATGTTTAGTGTCTGAAGTTTTAGCACTGGAGCTATGAGGCTAATGTAGCTAACAGGTAATGGAAGCTTATAGCCCACCGATTAGCATGGTGCTAACTGCATGCCTTGTCAAGTTGTTAATTAAACTCAAGCAGACTTGCCTGTGTGTTTTCTACACTGTAAACCACCCCCCCCACCACAGCAGGCTTTTTTCTCTTTTCAAGCTTTTATTTTCTGGCAGTAGGGCTGGCCTGAGCTCAGGTACTTGTTATGTTGGGTTCTACTTTCCTCACAGCTTTGATCACAGTTTCAAACAAAATTTTTTATCATAAAACAAGAGAAAGCGGCAGTTACATACCCATGGACGTGATAGTTTTGGCCACGCGAGCTGATTGGTTTGAGAGGCGTTCTAACTTATTTCACCATAACATCACGGGTTTTTCACAAACACTGTATCACTCTGCTGAGACGCCGTTGCTAAGCAACCACTTTGACAGCTGTAGGAGACGCTCAAGCCATTTGAACGTTTTTACTTCTTACTTTGCCACAAACAGAAAATGGACACTTTTAAGATCACATTTGACTGACAGCCGATTTGATCAGACTCTGAACATGAGACGACACTAAATTCCCAAACTGTCATCACTGCTGAGCAGCTTTTCAGTCGGCAGCTGTGACAGAAGAACAGCTGAACAACCTGGAATCAGCCAGAAATGAACCCAGTACCATTCGCCAAACTAAACGGGCTGTAAGATGCTTTACAGACTGGCTGGAACAAAACAACATTAATACTGATCTGGAAAAAACTGACAAAA